AGGTGGCTGCCACTGCCACTTTTGCGTTGGCCCTTTAAATGTCTCTTTACATCCCCAGCCACCTGTCTCTGGCAGAGATCACCCCTAAGCTTTTCGGGGTTGCATTTTGTCTGTATTTTCCTGGTTTTAGCTGCTGTTGTTTAGAGGTCCCTGTTTATGATTCAGACTCCGTTCTTCTCAGGGGGAGCTAACTGGCTGTTTCATTGTCCCTCTGGTGCTAGTGCCTGTGGGCACCAAGCCCACCCTCTCGAGCCTCCACCACACCTCTCACCCATTGGGATGTGTGAGAGTTGAATCCACTGTCTGTCCACTGCTCCAAGGTTCCTCTACCATTATCGTTTCATTGTTTTTCAGGTGATTACTCCACTATTTAGTTGCAATTCCAGTTTGGTGTTGTGAGGAGGAGGTCAGCGTGACTCCCATTCACTCCTCTGCCATCTTTTTTTAGACCACAGTTTTTGATCCACTCATTTACTAATGGGCACTTAGGCTGTTTCCAGTACTTGCCTATTGTAAATAAAACTTCTAGGAACATTGGGGTGCATAGGTTCTTCTTAATTCATGATTCATGATTCTTAGTGTATAATCCCAGTAGTGGGACTACTGGATCAAAAGGCAGTTCCACCTTTAGTTTCTTGTGGAAATTCCATACTGTTTTTCACAGTGGCTACATCAGTCTGTATTTCCACCTACAGTGCACTAGAGTTCCCTTTTCTCCATAACATCACCAGCTATTGTTGTTTGTTGATTTATTAATGATGGCCCTTCTTACTGGTGTGATGTAGTTAGGGTTTTAATTTGCACCTCTCTAATGGCTAGTGATGTTGAACATTTTTTCATGTGTCTATGGGCCCTCTGTATCCTCCTGGGACAAATGTCTGTTCAGGTCCTTTACCCATTTAAATTGGATTACTTGCTTTCCTGGTGTGAAGTCACATGAGTTCTTTATATACTTGGAAGATCATACCGTTGTCCGAGATATCATTGACAAATATGTTTTTCCATTTACAATAGCCAAGTGCTGGAAACAGCCCAAGTGCCCCTCAGTAAATGAGTGGATTAAAAAACTTTGGTACATTTACACAATGGAATACTATGCAGCAGGAAGAAAGTAGGAACTCCTACCTTCTGTGGCAACATAGATGGGACTGTAGAGTATTCTAAATGAAACAAGCCTAGTGGTGAAAGACAAATACCATATGATCTTACCTATAAGTGGAACGTAGTGAACAAAACAAATAGGTGAGCAAAGTAAATCCAAAGACATGGAAACAAGGGACAGATGGCTAGGGACAAGAGTATATGGTGAGGGTGATAAGGGAGGTAGCAAGAGGAAGGGCTTAGTTAAAAAAGAATTATAAATGAACCATGGACATGGACAACTGGGTGAGGATTGGCTGTGGGAGCAGTGGGTGGGCAGGAGAGAGAAGGGGGAGATCAACAGGGAAAAATTGGGACAACTATGGTAGAACGACAATATAAAAAAATTACAAAAAATTCAGTCAGAAATAAAGGATACACTTATTGAAAGAAAGAACAAATTACAAGGAATCAACAGATGAAACATATCCTCGGACTTCTGGCCAAGATGGAGGTATAGATAAGTACACTTTGCCTCCTCACACATCCAAAACAAGGACAACAGTCAATTTAAAAACAAAAAACAACCAAAACTGGCATAAAATTGAACTGTGTAGAAGTCTGGCAACCAAGGAATTATAGAAGAAACATTCATCCCGACCAGTAGGAGGGGCAGAGATGAGCAGCTGGGGCAGAGAGGATGCATGGCAAGGCAGCAACTGGTGGTCCTCACTAACATGAAGATAAACTGGGAGGATCAACTGGGGAGAAAGACTGACCACACAACCCAGGGTTCCAGCACGAGAAAAGAAAGACTCAAAACCTCTGACTGTAAAAACCTGTAGGGGTTGTGGCATTGGGAGAAACTCCCAGCCTTACAAAAGAGTTCGTTGGAGAGACCCACAGGGTCCTAGAACATACACAAACCCACACACCTAGGAATCAACCCCAGAAGGGCCCAATTCACTTGTGGGTAGCAGGAGAAGTGACAGAAAGCTGGCTGAGAGCCAAGCAAGCTGCACTGTTCCCTCTTGGGCCCCTCCCTCATATACAGTGCAACAGCTCAGCCACATGGGTTGCCCTGCCCTCGTCAATACCTAAGGCTCCTCCCCTTACAATGTAACAGGAGTGCCCAGGCAAAGAAATATGTCCCAAATGAAAGAACATATCAAAACTCCAGAAAAAATACAAATAAGCAAATAAGAGATAGCCAACCTATCAGATGCAGCATTCAAAACACTGGTAATCAGGTTGCTTACAGAAATGATCGAGTATGGTCACAAAATAGAGGACAAAGTAAAGGTTATGCAAAGTGAAATAAAGAAAAATATACAGGGAACCAGCAGTGAGCGGAAGGAAACTGGGACGCAAATCAACAATTTGGAGCAGAAGGAAGACATAAGCATTCAACCAAATCAGAATGAAGAAACAAGAATTCATACAAATGAGGAGAGGCTTAAGAACCTCTGGGAAACTTTAAATTTTTCAATATCTGAGTCACTGAGGTGCCAGAAAGAGGAGAGCAAGAGGAAGAAATTGAAAAATTATTTGAAAAAATAACAAAGGGGAACTTCCCAATCTGGCAAAGGAAATAGACTTCCAGGAAGTCCAGGAAGCTCAGAGAGCCCCAAAGAAGTTGGACCTAGGGAAGGACACACCAAGACACATCATAATTAAATTACCCAAGGTTAAAGATAAGGAGAGAATCTTAAAAACAGCAAGAGAAAAGGAGAGAGTTACCTACAGAGGAGTTCCCATAAGTCTATCAGCTGATTTCTCAAAAGAAACCTTAGAGGCTAGAAACAGGGGCTGGAAAGAAGTATTTGAAATCATGAAAGACAAGGACATACATTCAAGATTACTCTAACCAGCAAAGCTATCATTTAGAATGAAAGGGCAGATAAAGTGTTTCCCAGATAAGGTCAAGTTAAAGGAGTTCATCATCACCAAGCCCTTATTACGTGAAATGTTAAAGGGACTTATCTAAGAAGAAGAAGATCAAAACTATGAACAGTAAAATGATAACAAACTCACAACTATCAACAACTGAACCTAAAAATAAAATAAGCAAACATATAGAACAGGAACAGGATCACAGAAATGGAAATCACATAGAGGATTATCAGTGGGGAGGGGGCAGTGGAAAATGGGGGGAAGGTACAGGGAAGAAGAAGCATAAATGGTAGGTGCAAAATAGACAGGAGGTGGTTAAGAATAGTACAGAAAATGGAGAAACCAAAGAACTTATAGGTATGACCATGGACATGAACTAAGATGGAGGAATGCTGGTGGGAGGAGGGTGCAGGGCAGAGGGAAATAAAGGGGAGAAAGAATGGGACAACTCTAATAGCATAATCAATAAAATGTACTTAAAAAATCAGATGAGTGGGTGAATCCATGAATGAAATCAGTGATTTGCAATATAAGGAAATAAACAACCAATCCAAACAGCAAGAAGGAAAAAGAATCCAAAATATATGAGGACAGTGTAAGGAGCCTCTGGGACAACTTCTAGTGCACCAACATTCATGTCATGGGGGTGTTGGGAGGAAAAGAGAGAAAGTAGGGAATTAGAAACCTATTTGAAAAAATAATGAAACAAAATTTCCCTAACTTGGTGGAGGAAATAGACAAATAGGTCTAGGAAGCACAGAGTCCAAAACAAGGTGAACCCAAAGAGGCCCACACCAAGACACAACATAATGAAAATGCCAAAAGTTAGAGATAAAGAGCAAATCTTAAAAGTAGCAAGAAAAAAGCAGTTAGTTTCCTACAATGGACCTCCCATAAGACTGTCAGCTGATTTTTCAAAAGAAACTTTGCAGGCTAGAAGGGATTGGCAAGAAATAATCAACGTGATGAAAGACAAGGGCCTACAACCAAGATTACTCTACTCTGCAAAGCTATCATATATAATTCAGACAGATAAAGAGCTATCTAGATCAGAAAAAACTAAAGGAGTTCATCACCACCAAACCAGTATTATATGAAATGTTGAAGGATCTTGTTAAATAAGAAGATCAAAACTATGAACAACAAAATGGCAATAAATACATATCTATCAATAATTGGATCTGAAAAACAAACCATTAGAACAGAAACAGAATCATAGATACAGAGAACTTTTTGATGCCAGATAGAAGAGGGTTTGGGGTGATGAGTGAAAAATATGAGGGATTAAGAAGTACAAAATTTCAGTTATTGAATAGTCATGGGGATGTAAAGTGCAGCATGAGGAATAAAGTAACCAAAGAACATATATGCATAACCTATGGACAAGGGTGTAGGGATTGCCTGTGGGATTTGGGGGGCTGGGTATAGAAGGGCAAAGTGGGACAACTGGGACAACTGTAATAACATAAACAATAAAATATAATTTATAAAAGAGTCCTGGTAGCTTTGATATTTAATGGATTACTATTGCTTTTTTGCCCTTCTTCTATAGGGTGAGAGGTAGATAGAGTAGTTGCAATTAAAAGATTTGTCTGATTCTCTTGTTCAGTGGACCTATGTTTCTCTAGGCTAATGGAGAGATAAATTCTTAGTGACAAAGTTTTCCTTGTTTTATTTTGAGGTCCTTTCATTCAAGCAACAGAATTTGCTAAACCAACTTTATGCCAGGTACAGTTTCCAGGAACATCCTGTTCAGAATTTCTGCTTGTGTTTCTCCACTGCTTTGTTGGGGCTGGACCATGTGTTTGGGAAAGTTAATGTCAATGCTGGAGTAAGAGCTCAAGTACAGGACCACTGTCTGCCTACTACACAGATAATCATTGTGACAAATAGAAAGTGCTTCCTGGTTTGGTTAAGATACAGGGCTATTTAGTTGACTCAGTCTATTGATTGAAATCTTGATTTAAAGTGTTGAGACATATAATTGTTTCCTATTATTTTTCATTTCTTTTTCTTATTCTTCCCAGACTCTCTCCCAAGCATGCCCCAGATATTCCTGATGACAGCACTGACAACATCACTATCTTCACAAGAATCTTGGATCGTCTTCTGGATGGCTATGACAACCGGCTGCGACCTGGGCTTGGAGGTCAGTTACTATTTTAAGAAGTTCTACTTGGCTTTTATCATCTCAAAAATTCTTAGAGTGCCTTTAGTAGTCTGAAGGTTAATATAAGCTATTTATTCCTTCTGAGCACTGGAAATTATTTCTAATCCTTTATTTCAATTGTCAGTCTCTGGTCTGGATTTGGAGTTTCTGAATTTCACTTAGGCTATAAATACATATGGGGTATTATACCACAGTGGCCAAGCCCATTTCTGGTAATGAAATACCAGTCTATGGCTGGACATCAGGTGTGACCCAGGAACAGCTGGGAAACATACCTTTGTTCTCAAAGCCCTAAGAACATATCATCTTGACATTGTAAATAGAAGCAATTTAATTTCTAAGTTGAATCTTAGTTGGCTATCAGTATAGCATGATCATCAATATGATCACAGTGAGGTAAATGCATTATAATACATCATGGCTGTATTGAAAGATGAAATATGCAAATGTATATATGTTTAATTTTTGCCTGATCCACTCGAGATTTAGTTGCAGATATCATATCCCTTTGTCTATAAATGCTTCAGTGTGGATTTCTTTAGAAAAAAATTATTTTGTAAAATTGCAATGGAATTATAAATTCAGAAAGTATAACCTGAAATAAACTATTTTCTAATCTGTAGTCCATATTCAGATAAGGAACTCCAGACTGTTCCTTATAGCAGTTTTCCATGATACAGAATTCAGTTCAGGATTATGTACTGCATTTTTTTTCACATCTCATTAGCTTATAGTCTGGTATAGTTACTCAGTCTCTTTTTGTCCTTCATGGCATTGATTTGATTTTCCATACTCATTTTTGGAAGAAACACAAGAGTTAATTGTGTTTTTCTCAGTGCATTACTCAAAAAAGTGACATGATGTCTGTTTGCCCCATTGTAAGTACTATTAATTTTGATATTCATCAGGTTATTACACATAAAATTGCCATGTTTTCAGTATATAATTAATAAATAATTTGTGAGGAAGTGCTTTAAGATTATTACATTCTTGCACCAAATAGTCTTAATAATTTTAACAACTATTGATTATTACATAAATAGTAACTGTTACATTGCAAAATGGTGATTTTCTAAATCTATTATTTCTCTATATTTATGACATGGCATTCTATTGTAAGAAAAAATATTTATTTTCTAAAAATGAGGGATTTATTGGCATAAACAGATGGATTCTTATTCAATGAATTGAAATCCATTAATATTATTTTTGTTTTGTTTTTATTGTTTATTATTATTTTATTGTTACAGTTGTTCTTGCTTTATCTCCTTTTCTCCACCTCCACCAAGACCCACCCTCTCCCCACCCCAAGCCAATCCCCATACTGTTGTTCATGTCCATGGACTGTGCATAAAAGTTCTTTGGTTAATTAATTTTGTTTAAAAGTTTTATTCATAATTTTCCACATTTGCTAAGTGGGAGCCCACTCATGCTGGCTTCTGTTTCTTTTTGATATGTTCTCTTCATTTTTTAATTGAGTTTATTGGAGTGACATTGGTTCACAAAACCATATAGGTTTAAGGGTACAACTCAACAAAATATCATTGGCACACTGCATCATGAACTCATTGCATAAAGCTAAGTCTCTTTCTGTCTCCACTTATCTCTTCTTTGCCCTCTTCCACTTACCCCCAATCCCTTTTTCATCTATCACTACACTGTTGTCTGTGTCTATATGTTTTATGTATGTGTGTTTGCTTAATCCCTTCACTTTGTTGCATCCAAATCCCTGAAACCCCCTCCCTGCTGACAACTGTGTCTGTTTCATGTATCCACGCCTCTGTTTCTATTTTGTTCATCACTTTATTTGGTTCATTAGAGTCCACATACAAGCATATGTAAGATCATAAGATATTTGTTTTTCTCTGAGTGACTTATTTCACTTAGTATAACAATCTCTAGGCCTAACAATGCTGCTGCAAAGGGTAATATTTACTTCTTTTTTTATAACAAAGGTATTCCATTGTGTCAATGTGCCACAGCTTTTTTTGTCTAGTGATTTACTGATGGACACTGGGGCTATTTCCAGATGTTGACTATTGTAAATAATGCTACATTGAACGTAAGGGTGTATATATTCTTTTGAATTAGTGTTTCAGGATGCTTAGGATATATTCCCAGAAGTGGGACTGTTATGCCATAAGTAACTTCCATTTTTAATTTATAAGGAAATTTCATAATGTTTTCCATAGTGGCTTCACCAACCTGCATTCCCACCAACAGTGCATGAGGGTTCCTTTTTCTCTACATCCTCACCAACACTTGTTGTAGGTTGATTTATTGATTATGGCCATTCTGACAGGTGTGAGATGATATCTCATTGTGGTTTTAATTTCATCTCTCTGATGATTAGTGATGTTGAGCATTTTTCATATGTCTATAGACCATCTGCATGTCTTCTTTGGAGAAGTATCTATTCAGGTCCTTTCCCATTTCTTAACTGGGTTGTTTGCTTGTTTTGATGTTGAGTTGTATAAATTCTTTATGTATTTTGGAAATTAATCTCTTATCAGAAAAGCCATATAATCAACTCAGTAGACACAGCAAGAGCATTTGAAAGACCCTGTTAAAAACTTTCATGCCTGTTAAAAACTTTCAACAAAGTAAGAGTAGTACTCTCTGAACTTGATATGAGCATATCTTAGAACAACTTATGCCTAACATCATACTTTCTAATAAAAAAAACCTTGAAGCTTTCCCCCTAAGAGCAAGATCATGACAATGGCATCTGATTTCACCCTAGCTATTCAACATTATATGTGAGGTCTAGTTAATGCAATAAAACAAGAAAAAAATGCATCTATATTGCTCAGGAAGAATTAAAACTTTCTTCTTATGTGACATAATAGTCTATGTATATAATCTGATGAAATGTAAATAAAAGTTATTAGAATTTCCACTTCTGTAATGAAAGTATGATGAGCTCTGTAAATCATCCTTTCAGTGAAACTGGTGAAATTTATTTTTAAAACAACCATTTAAAGTTTCTGCATATCCAACAAAAGAAAAACAACTATTTATTTAAGAAAATCTAATACAACTCAGTAAGGTAATCAAGAGTCCAGATATTTAAAAGAAGACCTGTTTCTACCTTCTTCCTTCCCAGCTAAGTGAGACAGAAACTGTGCTCCAGACTGGTGCAGCCCCCCTAGAGCAAGCTAGCTACTCATTACTGAGGCTAAATTCTGAGCAAGTTTGGCTGAGAGTTAGGAGATCCCTTCATCCATCTAGCCCCAACTTAATGGGATCAAGTCCCTAACTTGGGCATGGCACTACTGAGAGTGCTATGGCCTCAAGTGCCCTTGATTTGGCTCATAGGGTAGTAGTCCATGGCAGAAAGTGCAAGCCAAGGAGACCTGGGACTTCATTGGCATTTATAGAATACTTCAATCAATAACAGCAAAATATACATTCTTTTCAAGTACATGTACAACTTTTACCAAGACAGATCATATTCTGTGTTATAAAAAAATCACGAGAATCAACAGCATACAAAATATGTTTTCTTGACAAAATTGAATAAAAATCAATAACTGAAAGTTGTCAAGGAACATGTATAAAGGACTCATGGATTAAGACAATGGGGAGGGGAGGGAGGAGTGAATGTGGGAGGTGGGGATGGGTAGGGCAGAGGAGCGTAATGGGGGAAATGGGAACAACTGTAATTGAGCAATAATACAAAAATGAAATAAATATTAAAAGAAAACTTCTAGAAGTAAAATAAATAAATAAATAAAATACATCTACAAAATTCCAAGTTCTTGGAAACTAAATAATATGCTTATAAATAAACCATGAGTCAAAGAACTCAAAAGAACTGGAGACTGTTATGCTAAGTGAAATAAGTCAGGCAGTGAAAAACAAATATCATACGATCTCATGTATAGGAGGAATATAATGAACAAAATAAACTAATAAGCAAAATAGAACCAGAGGCATGGAAGCAGGGAATAGACTGACAGCTCTAAGAAGGGAGCGGGTAGATGGGGACTGGTTGAAAGAAGGTGAAGGGATTAGCCAAAGAACTTACATGAAGGACCTGGGGACATGGACAATGGGATGAGATTGACTGTGGAATTGGGGGGCAGGTAGGGTGGTGGAGGGTTAAGGGGGACAAAATGGACATCTGAAATAGCATAAATAATAAAACATCAAAAATGTAAAAAAAATTAAGCTTTTTCAGTTGAACAAAGTAAAAAATGATATAAAGCAGTGCTAAGAGGAAAACGTAACAATATATGGAAAAGTTAGAAGATTAACCTCAAATCAATGCCTTGAGCCTTTACCTTAAGAAACTTGGGTGGGGGGGAAGAAACAGCTAACAATAATAATAGAATATAATAAATACAAGAGCAAGAATTAATGAGGCAAAAATCTCTGAGTCACAGCTCCAGTTCTGGGGATGAGAACAATGGTATACATCTCTGAAGGGACAACTCCACTTTAGTTGCTGAATGCTTGGTGGAGGGATGTTGGTAGCAGTCCCAAATGAACAGCATTATTTGATTTTTTCCCTTACTAATCAAGTATTGTATTACTTTTAATGTTAAATATGAAGCACTTTTGCATAGTTACAAAGTTATTTATGGTTGATGTATTATCACACACTGTGAGCAATCATATACTAAACTATCTGTGATAACTTAGCATAAATATGAACATTGTTAAACAGATAATAAGTGATTTTCCAGCGATAATCTATAATATACAATGTTACAAAGGAATGTGAATTTCAATGTCATAATTTATTTATTTATTCATTTATTTTTTTATCATTTTTTATCATTTATTTTTTATCATTTATCATTATGTCATTTATTTTTCAATATATAATTACAGTTAACATACAATACTATATTAGTTTCAGGTATACAACATAGTGATCAGACATCATATATTATATATATATATATATATATATATATATATATATATACACACACACACACACACATATACATAAACATATACATGTAATG